TAAAACAAAACTTTAAAGATTTATTACTCAAAACTTTTATAATAATTTTAAAAAACTTTCTTAACAAAGTTGTTAAATAAATATTAAAAAATATATTTTACTTAGAAAGTATATATTAAAAATTAATATTTAAGATTAACAGATACTCTGCAACATACTGGTGCTGAGTAGCTGAAGAAATAAAGATAAATTGAATAAAGTAATAACTATACTTAATAAAGAAACCAAAACAAGAGCTTTTGCCCTTGTTTTAAGAAAAAGAAAGATATCAATGATAGAAAAAGAAAAGAACAAAGCCAAATAGCTTAAAATATATAACACTAGATCCAAAACTCAGAATGAGGAAAAAGAAAACCTATATAAGACAACTAACTAAAAAAGTGTAGAAACACTAGCTAGCAGCTCAAAATAAGTTCAAATCAACTTAACAAGACCAAATACTAACAGGGCTGAAGATATAGAACTTAGTTACAAAAAGAGAGAAATAATATTTCAGACAAACACAGTCCAACTTATAGTCTTATCAATAGACAAAAATACAGAAAATTTGATGAAAACTCAGATAGAAAGTTCTAAAAAGAATTGAGATAGTTAAACAAATAAAAATAAATCAGGTAACTCTGATATAACAACTGAAATAGACTTAGAAATGATTTAGAAAAGGAAAAAAATTAACAACTCAGAAAAGAATATCACCTATAGGGTAATAGTCGAACCTATTTACTAAAATGCAGAATGGAAGAGCTATATATAGAGTAACCACTCTAGAAAAGGAATCCAAACAAAAAATGATAATACAATAATATTAGATATTCAAAGCTTAGTTAACATTCTATTAAATGATATTATATATGCATTATATAACAAAATAGAGAATATATTCATTACAGCAAAGCTATATTTTATTAAAAGAAAACAAACAGATTTAGAGTTAATTTTTAAGAATGAAGAAAGTTTATAAAAATATACTGCAGAAGTTATAAGCATCTTTAAAAGAACACTACTAAAATATATTCCTACAAACTTTGAAGAACAAACCTGTTAGTTAAGCTACAAATGTTTCTATGAGGGAAAAAAAAGCTATTTCAGAATATATTAAAGAAGTGATAGAAGATTTTAGTACTATTATATCAATTAAACCTCTAGTATATGAAGGTACTCCAATCTTATCTAATCAATAAATAGTAGTATATGATACTACAAATAATTCATTTATCACAGAAAGGTTACCTTGTCAAACTTATATATAGGATTAAAGGGTAAAAATTGATTAAAAAGTAGCACTGAAAATATACTTTTATTACAACATAGAAGGATATATAAAAAAAGATTGCTTGCAATTTAAAGAGTTAGTTGAACTAAGACAATGCTATAGGGAATATAAAGCTAGTCAAAAAGTATTAAAAAGTAAGGATAATACATATAATATATCTTTACCTAAGCAAGACAACTCTTATAAAGAACCAAATAGTGAAATGTGTAGTCATAATGCAGTCAATAAAACAACTAATAATATAGAAACAACAGTTTGTATAGTAGAAAATAAAGAGATAGTAGGAACAGAAGCTCTGCCAATAGAATTACCACAAGATAGAAATTCAAACTTACAATAGCTACAAGTAATTAAAACAGGTCAACTTAAATAGACAGAAGATTATGAAATGATAGTAAATATACTAAATAACTTAGATCAAGTCTATAATGATCAAGAAGATAGATTTGAATTAGTAATATATAAAAAGAAAAAAAGAAATATATTAATAGAAGTTAATGTAAATAATAGTAGGTCTGGCCTATATAAAAAGAAATAGATTAAAGAAGAATACTATATCTCAAAACTAGAAAATAAATTTTTTTATAGTTTAAAGAGGGAATCCTGTATCCTAGCATTTTTTATTTAAGACTTACAACCCTAATTAATAGGAGGAGTATTATATTATATATTAATGAAGTCACAGATAGCCACTTATACAACTTTAGTCATTGTCTATTTTAAGGTTCTGCCTGCAGGTTACCTGCTAACTGCTATACCTGAAATCTACTTGTGAATTCCCTATTTAAGTCCTCTGATTTTTAACATTTTGTAATACCAACTCAAATACAGTTATGGTCGAGACTAAGGGCTACTTTACCCACAAACATAATCTCTACCAAGAGGTAGTCTATGCCTATTTCATAGATGTCTATGGATTTGTACCCTTGTGATATTTATATAACCCCAATTCCTATTATAGCTCTCCACCAGTTTTCTGGTTACTGATCTCTTCGAATATTTCATGAGATAGATCCTCCCAATCTAGTTAGCTGCTAAGCCAAGTTGGTGCTACTGATCCTTTCCATAGAATAGACATACCCAAACCCAACTCGATCTGTATTTTCAGAGTAACAGTTTCTTTTCTAGATCAAGCATCAGCTGGTATAACCATTGAAAGCTATACTACTTCACTAACTCAGGATTTTTACTATGCAGGTCCCCTGCTCATAGATCCTATCAAGATTTATTCATATAACATTACGTACTTCATCATACTTCTAATATCCAGATGATATTAGTGCAATATGATTTACATAGTTACAACTCCCAGAAACAGACAGAGTTTACTGTAAATTGGGTACAAAGGTCTGAGTAATTATTCAAATTCGTCGACAGTAGGATTTGAACCCCAGACCTCTTGTATGGCAGTCTGGCAACCTAACTACTACACTAAGATCATCAGACCTAAAACTAGAAAATAAATATTTAAACTTCTAATTATATTATATTAAGTTATCATGAATAGGAATAGATTTTTGATAGCTATATTAAATGTTAAAAGCCTTAATAATAGACATAAGTATAAGAAAATACTTACTTTATTGAAAACATATAATATAGATTTAATTTTGCTTCAAGAAACAAACCTAGATAATGAGAAAAACAAGAGAATTTATAAAATAACAATGAGTATATGAATCTTACTAGATAGCAAAAATAGTGATTCTAGCTAGAAATTCAAAAGTAGAACTAAAAGATATGAAAGAAAATTATAGAGAAAATGTAATTACTAGAACAGTTAGAATCAAACAATATATGTATAAAATAACAATTATATACACTCCTCTATACATGTTAAATCAAATAGAATTCTTAGATAATTAGGCTTTTGAGCTTGATAAAAGTATGATAAATATAATTGCTAGGAATTTTAATATAAATATTGATCTACAAAAAAATAGAATTAGTCAAGCTCAAAAGTATAGTGATCTGTTTATACATAAAATAATACAATATATAGCAGACTTCATAAATACAGCTAGTAAATAAGACTAGCTTTTTATAACTTATACTCAAAAGATAAGAAACAATCAATAGATAGCAACTAAGCTCAATTATATTTTTGTTAATAGTGATCAAGTATATTTCTGCTAGAGCATACAAATATTATTCAGAAATTTAGACTATCTGCTAGTCAAGTACATATTTAATTCTCAACCAGAAGTAAAAGGTGTAGCCTACTAGAAATACAATTCTAAGCTCCTAGCAAATAACAGAATTAGAAAAAATATTGAAGATAAGCTGCAGAAAGAGGTAATAGTAGAATCTTAGGATCTAAAAAAAAGCTAAATTTAGGCAATAATCTGTTAATATAAACCTCCAAAGGACCAAAAAGCAAACTATACAAAATTCAAAAGAAGATAGCAGAAATCAAAGAAAAAATTATATGAAATCTAAACAAAGAAGTATTACAAAAAATCAAAGACTAGGTCAGATAGTAGATAGTTTGATAGGAGATACCTAAGCTTGAATAAAAACAAGTAAGGTTTTAAACAATAAAAAGGATATATACTAGTAACTGCAATGTAAAGCCTTGTTTTTGGAATATAAACTCAAATATATAAACTCAGAGAATTCAGATAAATATCCTTACTGTTCTAATATGATACAAACCCTAGGACATTTTGCTCTTGACTATTAAATAAGTAAAAAGATTTGAGAAATAGCACTAAATTTGTTTTGCTTCTTAGCTAATTTTAAAATTCCAAAGGATCTGAATAAAATGTTTACAGAAAATATATAAGTGATATATACGGGTGGCACTCATTTCACAGACACTCAACTCACAGACATGCTGCTTTGTAGACACTGATTTCACAGACAAGGTTACTTTACAGACACACGGTCTGCAGACAATTAATTCATAGACAAGTTTATTTTACAGACAAGCTCATTTAACTGACAGAAAATTTACCGAAAAACCTTTTACTAACAAGATCAGTTCATAGACAAGCTTATTTTACCGACAGTATGATTCACTGATAATACGATTCACTGACAATATAATTCACTGATAATACGATTCACCGACAATATAATTTACTGATAATACGATTCACTGACAGTGCATTTCACTGATAATATGATTCACCGACAAATTTGCCTAATAGATAGGCTATCATCATGCAAGAAAAGTGCAAGTTGAATTAAAGATTAGTTTG